TCTGAACCAGAAGGTCATGCTTCGATTCCTGATCAGGGTACATGCCCAGTAGGGGCCATGCAGGAGGAATGATGCACTCTCATTATTGATGCTTCTATTTCTCCCTCTCCCTTCCTCTCTGAAATCAATAAAAAAATTTTTTTTAAAAAAAAGAATGAATGGCCCTTTTGGCTAGAATGTCACCACGAGAGACAGAGTTGTGGGTTCAATTTCCGGCCAGGACACAGACAAGAAGCAAACAATGAATGCATAAATGAGTGGAACAGAAAGTCAATGTTTCTCTCTCTCTCTCTCTCTCTCTCTCTCTCTCTCTCTCTCTCTCTCTCTCAAATCAAAATCAATCAATCAATAAAATTTTTAAGAAAAATGAATGTCGCTTGCCAGTTTGGTTCAGTGGATAGAGTGTCGGCCTGTGGATCAAAGGAACCCAGGTTTGATTCTGGTCAAGGGCATGTATCTCATTTGCAGGTGCCTCCCCAGGCCGGGCCCTGGTCAGAGCACATGCAGGAAGCAACCAATCGATGTGTTTCTCTCACATTGATATTTCTCTCTGTCTTTCCCTCTCTCTTCCACTCTTTCTAAATATTGATGGTAAAAATCCTTGGGGGGATAAGGAGGAGGAGGAGGAGAAGGAGGAGGAGGAGGAGGAGGAGGAGGAGGAGGAAGAGGAGGAGGAGGAGGAGGAGGAGGAAGGCTGACTTCTCCCACTTACCTTCAGTCATAGGTGCAGCAGATGCTGCCCGTGCCCTGCCCATCTCCCCCGTGCACTTGCCATTCTATACACACGGACAGTCTTACTGCCAATAATTGCGACTCTCTGTATGAGGGCATTTTGGGGCCACAGCAGCACGGGTGGCTCTCGTACATGGCCACCCAGAATGACAGGGAATAATGCCCCCAGGACTGTCCTCAGCCAGTGAGAGAGGAGTGGATGAATAAACGCCTGAGCTTCATTGCCTTTGAGCTAAAACAACCTGAGGCTTGTTCTGTCCTGTCTCCCAGAGGCCACAGCAGGGACCAGTGGTCCACAGCAGCTGCCTGCGGTGGCCTTTTATTGTCTTCGTTCCCATTCCGGTCCCTGACTCAGCTCCCATTGCGCTCAGCAGCACTGCAGCAGCTGACCCCCAAACGACCTGCACTCACATCACCTCGTCAGGGTCCGCCTCCTGGGGAAAGCCAACCTCAGACACGGTCCCCGCAACCACTGAAGAGCCAGCACATCCCATGACGCAGTGGGCAGATACGCCTGTCCACTGAGTGACACGCACACTGGGTGGCAGCTAGGAAACACACCCATGGTTTACAGAGCAGGGGGTTGAGCTGTTCTCATCCAGGGGACGCGTTGCCCCCCAGGGGCCACTTGGCAATATCAGGACCACTTTGGTGATCACAACCGGCGTTCAGTGGGCAAGGCCAGGATGCTGCTAGACACGCCACAGCGCACACAACCGCCCCCACAGCAAATGTCAATAGTGACCTGGTCCAGAAACCCTGGCACAGTCAGTGCAGCCCCAGAGTCAGAAGACCTGGCGCTGGGTGCTGCTCTCACTGTGAAGAGAGGATGAGATATTTCCTTCACAAGGTGTTTATGAGTCTTGAGTTGAGGTACTGAGAGTGGGGAGTCAATTACTCCTTCAATCCAGAGCGCCAACCTTGGACCCCATAGTAACCCAGTTGGTGACCAAACAGTCATGGAAATGGTGCACCCATTGCCCTCAGGGAATCCAGGGCTGTGTGTGGAGAAACCATGCAAACACTCAAAGCCTTTCCAATGTGAAGCCTGGCTCTAATAGGGCACGCGGTAGGTGTGCTTTGTAGGAGAGCAGAGAGAAGGAGGCATGCTTCCTAGGAGTCAGGAAGGGATATGTGCGGTGATCGGTGGGGATTGGCAAGTGGCTAAGCAGACAGGGGCCTCTCACAGAGGAAACAGCCTTTTGCAAGGGCACAGAGCCCTGACAGAGGGGGCATGTCTGTGGCACGGTGACTGTTCACAGCATAGCAACATGAAAGAGGAGAGAGAGATGAGGTGGGAAGGAGGCAGGCCCAGGCGGCGGGGGGCCTAGTTGCAGGGCTGGGACAAGGTGGGGCAAGTGAAGCATGTGAGGCACTGACCTCATGGGACTCACACAACCAGGGGAGTGGGTGTCTCCTTCCTGCTGGTGCTCTGGGACCCCCTGTGCCAGGCTAAGAAGCCAGAAAGGCTGGTCTGCCGGCCAGGAGCAGCCGGCAGAAGCCTTGGACTTCTGTCAGTTTTAGCAGGATAACCTGACTCAAACACAGGGCCACTGTGCCACTTCTAATCCAACAGTGTCTAGTTCAGACCAACAAGAAAGCAGAGCTTCGCCTGTCTAATGGGCTTCTCCACCTAAATGGAATATCGTTACAGACTGACTGGCCCTTTTCAACCCAACACTCAGCAGGTTCCCGGGGACAGAAGGTGAAAGCGATCATGGTTGGTGAGAAGCCTGCATGAGTCAGGTTGGAAACTAAGTTCCTGTGTTCAATTGAGAGAACAAGGCAGTGCTTTGAATGAGGGTCAGAGCTCATGCTGACCTCAATAATTAGGGCTTTCTTAAAGTTGGATATTTAGATTATCGAATAGCAAAATATGATTTAGCTATGCCGTCTTATGCTTCGCCTAAGGTGGAGCATGTAGACGGGAAGAAAGAGAGTCAGGGAAAGATGTTTAAAAGAGTTAAGAAACTAAACTGCTTTCAAGCCCCCTTGAGGTACTCCACAAGTGCACATTTGCTCCAAGACAATTGATATGCCGGAAGAAAATTATTCTTATCTATTCCCAAGTGAAGGTCATCTTTAAGGAACTCTTAGTCGAGGAGTTTTTAATCCTATTTCAATAAACTGTATCTACTATGTATATAATTATCATCATTGCTATTGATTGAAAATGCACATTTATTTTATAATAGTGTGTAATTCAGGAGTTGCACCAAATTGCCTGGGATTCTTCTCATTTGTGAGACTTCACTACACATATCATTTTCTCATTCTGTCTACATATAAGCATCAAGAGGTTCTTTAAAAAAGCTGCCCCAAAAGGCTGGCAGATTTCAAAGTAACAGAGGTAACGCAAAAACAATGTCCCAATAATTCTCTAAGACTCCACATCACCCAAACCCACCACCGGGACTGCAACTCCGGTGTGCACTTACAGCAGCGGTTCTCAACCTGTGGGTCGCGACCCCTTTGGGGGTCGAACGACCCTTTCACAGGGGTCGCCTAAATACATCCTGCATATCAGATATTTACATTAGGATTCGTAACAGTAGCAACATTACAGTTATGAAGTAGCAACGAAAATAATTTTATGCTTAGCAGTCACCACAACATGAGGAACTGTATTCAAGGGTCGCGGCATTAGGAAGGTTGAGAACCACTGACTTACAGCAATCAATTAAATTACCTGCCATCACTGAGCAACAGTTCGCCACCCTCTCGGATGCAAAGCAAGAAATAAAAGAAATACTTTAGCCAAAACCGGTTTGGCTCAGTGGATAGAGCGTCGGCCTGCGGACTGAAAGGTCCCGGGTTGGATTCTGGTCAAGGGCATGTACCTTGGTTGCAGGCACATCCCCAGTGGGAAGTGTGCAGGAGGCAGCTGGTCGATGTTTCTCTCTCATCGATGTTTCCAACTCTCTATCTCTCTCCCTTCCTCTCTGTGAAAAATCAATAAAATATATTTTAAAAAAAAGAAACAATTTAATCCTGAGCTGTAATTCATAGACAATATAATTTACCTGCCACATGCGTTTAAAAAAATTACAAGCCCTGGAATTACAAGCCCTGGCTGATTCCCCTCAGTGGATAGAGCGTCCTCCTACGGACTAAAAGGTCCCGGATTCCATTCCGCTCAAGGGCACATACCCGGGTTGCGGGCTCGATCCCCAGAGGGGGCGTGCAGGAGGCAGCTGACCCATGATTCTCATCATTGATGTTTCTATCACTCTCTCCCTCCCCCCCTCTCTGAAATCAATAACAATACATTTAAAAAATTACAAAACGTCCTTACGTATGTAATACATGGGGAGCTAAGAGGTAAGTACTTGTGTATAAGAACGCCTGCGAGGCGCACATCTGTATGAAACCATTGGGCGGGAGACGGCTGGAAGATTCAATGACTTCCAATGCTTCCCCAAAGCCTCCACGTAGGGAGGCGCCACACATGCGGACCCCTCGGCGTGTGTGCAAACTGGGGACACCACGAGCAGCCCTGCCACTGGCGACAAGCGATTCTGAGAACAGTGACCGATCCGTGACGAAGCGCTTATCAAGAACAGCAGTGCACCTCCCGCGACTTTGCCAACAACTGCGCTCCCGCGAAACTCCGTGTGTAGTATTAAGCCGCACCCAAAAGTGTGTGTTTGTGTGTTGGTCGCGTCTGCTTTGGTGTGCCTGCTTTTCAGTGTAAACGCACAACCAAGGGTGGCGCCTGGCCTAGGGGTCCAGGGGAAAGTGAGGGCACCACAACAGGAAGTGCGGGTTCGGGCCTGGAGCCCCCTGGCGGCGGCCGCAGCGACACTGGGCTGAGGCGGCAAAGCTGCAGGGCCGCAGAGGGTGGGCGCGAAAGCCCCCCAGCCGGTGCACGCATGCGCACACTTGGCCCCCAGCCTTGGCGCCAAAAGGAGAGCAGGCGCCCCCCCCCACTTCCGGCCCAGGCTGCAACCTCGAGGCGAGGCGAGGCGGCGGCTCTACGCGGCTTGTGCACGGACAGGCGACAGGCGGCCCTCCCGGCGTGAGTACTGTCCCTGCCGCTTGTGGACGAGATGGGTCGGGCGCGCTGAGGCGGGCATGGCCTTGTGGGCGGCGGGCATGGCCTTGTGGGCGGCGGGTGCCTGGTGGCCGTTGTGAGGTGAAGCGGGTCGCCGCTCTGTCGCGTCGCGGCGTTTGCAGAAACGATACATCGATGTTGCAGACGGGTTAGGCAGCCGTGCGACAGCGCACTTACGTTTTCTCTACTTTTAGGGCCCCCGCTTTATGTCACAATGCGAAGAGCTTTAGAACGCGCTCTGGACCATGCAGAGTGTGGCACTGAAAGCGCCCAACAGAGACCTCCTAAGAGGAAAGCCTCATTCGCTGAGGAAAAATCTCTGCATGAAAAGCTGTATGACATGTATGTTGAGGAGTTCGGGAAGGAGCCCGAAGGTACGGAGGAATTAACGCGCAATGTGAACTTGCTGGAGATGCTTGTTCGGCGGGAGTCCTTGCCCCGTTTAGTGGTCAGCCTATACCCAGGCGAGGAGGGGTATTCGCTGATGATAACGGGAGACACTGAACTCTATTCAGAGATCATTAGACTGCCCTATGAGGAACGGGACTTTCTTGACTACTTGGATGCAGGGCAACTGTGTCCTGATATGGTAGATGTCCTGGAAAGGTCTCGGGTTAACGTTTTTCAGAGCGGGTGTGTCATCACAGAAGTGCGGGACTTTAGACAGTGCACTAACGTGGACCGCTGTCGTTACGAAAGGAGGCATGTTCTCTTACGCCCCGCGATGCAGACGTTAGCTTCCGATACAGAGTCCATAACCACCAATAACCAGACACGGGCCCAGGAAGACAGACTTTCACTTGAGAGCCAGCCGATCTTAGCTGCAGCTGAGCCCCTGTGTCCTGATCCTTCTGTATCAGTAGCCTGCAGTGAAAACAAGCTGGTCTGTAATGAGCAAAAGATGAACACTCCTGCCATGGAAAGGAACTTACAGGAGGACTATTCTGCAGCCTCCCTGCATCCACAGCAGGAGCTGCCTTGCAGTCCACCCCCTCCTGAGCTAAGCGCATGGGCTCCTGACCAAGAAAGCCAAGCAGATCAGGATGACCTTGAAATTTTCACAGAAAGTTGTGTAGATATGTGGGAACAACTAGCCCTTGACTTGCAGATCCCTCTTGATTTGGATATAGAAAAATTCGCTGAAGATTGGCCTTTCCAATATGATGATGCAAATTCAATAATCTGGCCAGACTCTGAGGCAGAAGATGATTCTCTGTTTGGATGTGAGGGTGACAGTCCATCTCAGACAACAAAGCCGACCGTCATGCAGTCTCAGAATGATCCATTTATCTCTGGAGAAAGGTCACCTAAAAAAGTCAGACGTAGGAGACGAACACCTCGCCCCTACTGCTACACAGATGACCATTCCTATTGTTTAAGGCCTGGGTCAAAGACTCGTGCTAGGAAAGCCACCAGGGAGTCCAAGAAATTGGTGAAGAGGGACAAATGTGCAGTCAGGGTGGCAGAGCCCTCCAGTGTCTCCCCTAGTCTCATCCAGCTTTCTCCAGGGAGAGCAGCAGAACAGCCTTCGGCCGTGACAGTTCAGTCTGCAGCACAGGACCAGGGAGGCCAACACGCACCGCCAGTCATCCGCATTCCCTGCAGCTCAGGAAACAGCTCCTTGGGTAAGCCTTTTACTTCACAGCAGGCAGGCCACATTCGCATTCCGCAGCTTCCATCTCCTGCCCCTGCTTGGGAGCCACCAAGTCTTCCCCAGAAACCTGCTGTGCAGGTGAAGCGAGTCCGCACACTTCCTACAGCCACCGTGACTTCTGCCAGCACATCACAAGCAACCCCGGTCATCCAGGTCAAGGCCTCCTCTGATGACTCCAAGGTCGTTCAACTGCTGGGCCCTGTCCGCGTCATCCGGACTGTGGTGAGAGGATGCAACCCCATTCGGGGCTCTCCCTGTAGGGCCAGGGCTCCTTCAGGAGTGAAGCCCAGCAGCCTGCCCTCAGGAGGCCAGCCAAAGAATGCAGGGCCGGCTGCACCTCAGGCTCCTACAGGTGGTGTTCAGTATGTGGTAGGAAACCTTTCAAGTCTCAGGCCGGTAAAGGTTCTCTGGGTCCCACAGGGGTCGGATATTTCGGCCATCCTGCAGCAGGCCCAGCAGCAGCAGCAGGTGCTTTACCCGTTGATTCCACAGCCGCTGCAGCAGCAGCCCCCCACTTCTCATCTTCCGCAGCCCGTGGTGCAGGTTTCCTGTGTGCAGGGATCCAGCCGGCCACAAAGAGGCCTGTCTGCTCCTCAAGCTGCTGTCACTAACCTCAATGGAGTAGGAAGTGTTCTGCAGTCCCAGAGAGTTGAGTTGTCTCAGCCTGCGCAAAGGCCTTCCCAGCTGCGGGTCCAGCTCCCGGCTGCCTTCCAGAAGCTGCCACAGTCCCAGGGGAGAATCGTGCATCTCCCACAGGCTGTGGCAACAGCATCAGTCCAACCAGCTCAGCCAGCTGGGGGCGGGCAGACAGCAGGTCAGCCCAAAGGCCCAGAGAATGGAGGCCTGCCCAGCACTCCCAAATGCTGAGTCCTGCCCTGTGTTCTCTCTTTTGAAAAACAAAAGAGCATCTACCAAAGTGAGTTCTGAGTTTTTGCTTCATTCTGGGGTATTTTAATGTGTCAGTATTTTCAATTTAAGAAGTGCAAAGTTTGCACACTGAGGCACAACCCCGTAGTTTTTACATAGAAGTGGGAGTGATTTAATAACCTGGGATTGTTTTGCTTGCATTATTGTTTGGTCACTGCTGTTGTCATAGTGATTTCTCTTTTAATGTTCTAAAGTGTATCAAATTCACACTTGGCTCAGTTTAACCTCCTGAAGCCTGTGGTTTTTCTGAATCAATTAACTTTACAATACTGATGAAGTTATATTAATTTACCAAGATGAGTGTGTTTTTAAATGTTTGCTGAGTGAAGAAGCACTGTACCACTTAAACTGTACCATCTTGAGCCCTTGAAAGTTGTGTGTTGTGCAACAGGTCCCTAGAATTGTTTCATCTTGTCAAAGTGAACCTGGATCCTCCCTGAGCCCCAGCGGCCCATTTCCTGGCAGCCAGCTTGCCAGTTTGTGTTTACCTGAGTCCGGCAGCTTTAGACACTTCCCGTGCGTGCAGTCACACAGTAAGTGTCTTCTGGCTGGCTTCTTGCATTTAGTATGATGTCCATCCATATTGTAGCAGGCGACAGGAAGGTCACAGCCTTTCACATGGTTTCACTGTACATAATATATACGGAAGGGGCCTATGAAATGTTAGCAACATCTTTCTGAAGAATGTACTTTAGTATTTGCTTATTTAGTTCAAGTGGTTTTGGCGCCTCCGTGTTTACAAATGTGTTTATTAAAAGTGTTAAAAGTACTAAAAGTGATGTCTGTCACCCTATGTGGAGGACATGGGAGACCTCCCAATGTGCAGAAAGGGCTAGGGCATAGCTGCGGGCAGAGGCGGTGTCAGAGGCCTTTCAAAGACTGTGCCCTAGGCGCCCACCACAGAGCCCAGCTCTCTTCCTCCAGGCTGCAACCAAGGCCGGGAAAAGGCATTTCTGGGATGTCGTGTTTCCTCCCTTTATAAAATCATTTCTAGTTTTCAGAGTGTAGTGTCTTTAGCAGAAATGTACATAACGAACCATTTGGAAGTGAGTTTTATTGGTTTGCCTTTCAAGTTTTTTAAAAAAATATGTTTTTATTGATTTTAGAGAGAGAGGAAAGGAGAGAGAGATAGAAACATCCATGAGAGGCACAACTGACTGCCTCCTGTATGGCCCCCCACTGGGGATCCAGCCCGCAACCCGGGTATGTGCCCTGACTGGGAATCGACCTGGTGAAGTCTTGATTCATGGCGAGGCGCCTAACCACTGAGCCACACGGGCTCAGCTGCCTTTCAAGTTTTTGTGGCCTTGTTAGAGTTTGAAGTGGAACCTGGCCCCCTTCTCTTTCTTTTCCCTCTCCTGGCTCACGGAGCAATTGTTCCCCAGTCCTGCTCCCTCAGCTCTTTTCTGCCTCTGGGGTCTTTCAATGGCCTCAAAAGATGCCTGAACGTTTCTGTTGTCTTTTTTCCTTTCTTTTTATTGAGATGTAATTCGCATAAGAAACAACTCGTGTGAAGTGTATAATTCCGTGGCATTCACTAATGTAGTGTTTGCTGCCGCCATCCCTCTTTGGAAAACATTGCATCACCCAAAAGATCTCTGTAGCCCCTGAGCACTAGGTTCCCATCCTCCCCTCCCCAGCCCCAGAAACCACCAGTTGGCCTTGTGTCTGGATGGACTTCCCCGTTCTAGGTATTTCCAATGAATGGAGTTACACTGTGTGGCCTTTTGTACCTGCCTCTTTTCCTTGGCATAATGTTTTTGAGGTTCATCCATGTTGTCACATGTTTTAGTGTGTGATTCCTTTTCATGTCTGAGTGAGGTCTGGTTCTCTGAATTTGCCACATCCATTTATCCATTCTCCACTGATGGGCATTTGGGTTGCTTCCGCCTATGAGCTATGGTGTATACTGTCACTTTGAAAACTGTCCACAGGTTGTGTGTGTCTCTAATATTTTGCTTTGTTACAACTTGAAGGGCAACCTGTCCACATAAAATTTGCTTTTCTAAGTACACATGTATGTCCCTGTGCTTTTTGCCCTAACTAAAAGAAGGAAATTTGGTCTGTCAGTTCCAAAAGAGATGAGTGAAGGGGCAGGTAACCGCTGAGTCTTATCGGTGAAGTCAGCTGTACTAATGTGCTACGGATCCCGTTAAGCAAAGATTTTCGATTGACTTCCAACAAACACCTCAGCTATGTCATCTGAGTGACACTGTTCCCGTTCGAGCTTCTGTAGCCCATCCTGGACATCTTCGGCCGTGGTACCCACACTTTGAAGAAGTGAACCAGTGCGATGACCAATTACAAAGAAGAGTTTACGCTCGGCCTTGAGAACCAACCAGAGACCTGAACTCAGACTCTCCCCAGATTTGATGTACTTCTTCCCTTTTGCTGCTTGTTTTGGCCCTCCCTTCCCAGTCAACAAATAAAGTTAGTTTTGTTTCAGATAACCTTTTGTGGCCTTTGTTCATATCTTCTCATGGTTCCCACCAAAGTTGGTACTTGATGCAAGGTCTCTTTTTAGGCTATTCACTGGCTATGGTTGTGAATGAACTTTGCATTCATTTTTTTTTTTTTTATTGTGAGAACCTGGAGGCTTTTCCCTACCCTTGGTCCAATTCATACTCTTTGTCTTTAACTCGTTATGTGCAGGCTGTGTCTTCATGACTTAGTGTTTGACCATTCGTAGTGAATTGGTTGTGGGATAGCAGGTGTCCCCGAATGTTCCAATAGAGATCAGAAAAGGTGGTCCAGGACATGATCATCCAGGAAAATCCAGGTGGGCCCAGTACAGCAGGAAATGTCTGCCAGCAGTTGGGTCTGTGTCACAGTGCAGGAGTTTGGGAACAGAATTATATTCCTTGAGGACACTTGCAAGTGATGGAGGACTCTGGTTCTAGGTCAGCACTGTTCAATAGAAATAGAATGTGAGCCTCATGTTATTTTAAATTTTTCTGTAGCCACATTTTAATAAGTAAAAGGCAAAAAGAGAAAATACCCTTAATAATGTATTTAACCCAATACAGGCATACTTTGGAGATGTTGCAGGTTTGGTTCCAGACCACTGTGATAAAGTAAATATTGCAGTAAAGCCAGTCACACACAAAAATTTTTTTTTACATTTTTTCCTCTTTTTTTTGGATTTTTATTTTATTGTTTAAGGTATTACAAATAGTAGTACAAATGTCTCCCCCCCCCTCCCCGCACTGACCTCCCCTGGCCTCCCCTACCCCCCAGTGTCTTGCTTATATGCATGCATACAAATCCTTCGCTTGATCTCTTATCCCCCCAACCCTCCCCTACCTTCCCGCTGTAGTTTGACAGTCTATTCCATGCTTCTTTGCCTCTATTTTTGTTCAACAGTTTGTAATGTTCTTTATTATCCATAAATGAGTGAGATCATGTGGTATTTATCTTTCACTTACTGGCTTATTTCACTTAGCATAATGCTCTCCAGATCCATATATGTTATGTTTTACACTATTTTGTATCCTATGCATTGTGTCTAAAAAACAGTGTACATATTTTAGTGAGAAATACTTTATTGTAGCCCAGCTGGTGTTGCTCAGTAGGTTGAGCATTGTCCCATGTACCAAAAGGTTGCCGGTTCTATTCCTGGTCAGGGCCATGCCTGGGTTTCAGGCTTGATCCCCAGTAGATGGTGTGCAGGAGGCAGCCAATTGATTCTCTCTCATCAATGTTTCTCTCCTTCTCCATTCCTCTCTCTATAAAATCGATAAAACATATTTTTAAAAATAAAATAAAAAATACTTTATTGCTAAAGAATGTTAATCATCTTCTAATCCTTCAGCAAATTATAATGTTTTTGCTGGTGGAGGGTCTTGCCTTGTTGTTGATGAAAATACATTATCTGGGAAGTGCAATAAATCGAAGTTCAGTAATACCTGGTATGCCTATATAGCCAAGATTATCATTTCCATTTGTAATTAATATTTTATTTTAAAATGTATTTTTATTGATTTCAGAGAGGAAGGGAAAGGGAGAGAAAGATAGAAACATCAATGAAGAGAGAGAATCATTGATAGGCTGCCTCCTGCATGCCCCCTCACTGGGGACTGAGCTCCCCACCTGGGCAGGTGCCCTGATTGGGAATCGAACGGTGACCTCCTGGTTCATAGGTTGACACTCAACCACCAAGCCATGCTGGCTGGGCTGTAATTAATATTTTAAAATTCTTAATGAGACATTTTACATTCTTTTATTTTTGTTAAGTTTTCAAAATCCAGGCCCTTATAGCTTGTCTTGATTCTGAAATTTTCATCAGAAATACTTGATCTGAATTTAGATTTTAATAAAATCTATAGTTGAAAATGTAGATTCGCCTTACAAACATTCTTAGACATTTAAATTCGTTAAATCAAGCAAAAATTAGTTCCTCAGTCTCACTGGCCATGTTTTGATGGGTCAGTAGCTGCATGTGGCTATGGTGTTGGACAGTGCATTTCTAGAGGGATGAAGGAGCAGAGCAGATCCTAGAGAGCCTCAGGCATGAGTTGGGAATCAGTTCTTTTTTTGTTTGATTTTAGGGAGAGTGGAAGAGAGAGGGAAAGACAGAAACATCGATGTGAGAGAAACACATTGATTGGTTGCCTCCTGCACATGCCCTGACCAGGGCCAGGGCCGGGGAGAAGCCTGCAACCAAGGTACGTGCCCTTGACGGGAATCGAACCCGAGACCTTCAGTCCACAGGCCCACACCCTATGCACTGAGCCAAACTGGCTGGGGCGGGAATCAGTTCTTGAGATGAGGCAGGGGCTGATCATCAGAGCACAGTTGGAGGGGAAGTGAGGCTGTGTGAGGAAGTGATTCCATGTGCTAAGCGGAAACTCCCAGAAATCCTCACGGCTTGTGGTCACCTGGGCCTGGACCTGCAGTAGACAGCAACGGGCCCTAGCCATAGAGCCAGGATGGTGGTAGAG